AGCAACAATGTATTGCTACTCCTTTTGCTGAGCTTGAAGACGTGTTTCCAGTTCCAAGTAAATACACTGGCTCTGGAGCACAACACGTATTTGCAGTGGCTTTTAAAACCGGAAAACGTTTACTGTTTCAAGTTAGAGGTGAACCGGAGCGAGATGAATGGATGGAAAAAATTCAGGAAGCGTTAGGTATAGGTGAAGATTAGGCTATATAGTCTTTTTTTCTTTCTTTGTGTTTTGTAGTACTTTTTGGTGGTGTGGTGTGTAGGTGAAATGTGTTTTGCCTTTTTTTTTGTGTATTTTTATTTTTGTGAATTTCTTGATTTGTTTCTTTTTACCTGTTTTGGGTTTTTTTTTTCTAATGTTTTCGTATAATTGTATTTGGTCTTGTGTTTGCTGCATCTGAATATAATGATTTACTGTTTTCTGATTTTCTTCTTATGTGCTTTCACGGACTGTTTGTGATGCTAACGTTTCTGTTTAATCTGGTTGAAAAAGGAAGCAAGTTTTGTTGAAACATTTTGTTCTTGGTGGAAAAAAAAAAGACTGATTTTTTATGTGAAAGGCTGTTATTCGCGTTTTGTTACTTTTTTCCTATATTTCTTTTTTATAGAATATTTTAATGGGGATTTCTCGGGGTTTTTTTTTTTGTGGAGGTTGATCTTTGTTTTTTTCTTTTTTTATTATTCAATTCGCGCAATGTGACTCTGAGGTTATGGTAGTATTGTAGTTTTTTCCATCTAATGTATCTTGTGGTTGATGTGAAGAGGGTTTTTTGAGGCTGTTGTGGTTGCTTGGCAACTCTAATATTTAGCTCTCAGGTTTTTCCGATTGAATAGAACCTTTTTGTAAAGGGTGTATATGTATATATGTATGTTTTTTTTTTTTTGTTTTTCTTGTTCTTGTCGTTTAGGTTGTGATACGGAGTGAAAGAGCAATTGAAACGGAAAACCAATGAAGTGAGAAAGAGGGATAATGTGTGGTGAAAAATAGTTTTTTTATCATACAAACACAAATATATATATCTGGGATATTCTTAATTTTCACTTCATAATATCCTGCTGTAAATATTATATTTATTGTTGTGTGAATTGTGATGATGCTGCGTTTTGCAAAGAATATAGATGCTGTATCAGGTTTCTTTCAATTGAAAAGATTGTATATACTCTTTTTTCTTCTTTTGAATTACCCTATAAGTCTTCCATACTTTTGTTTTCTCTCTTGTGGTTGACCGTGATTTGGTATAGAAAGAATTCAAAACGGTTGAGGTAGGAGGAGGTGTGTGTGTGTGTGTGTGTGTGTAAGTGTCTTGTCTGTCTGTGCGTTATGGACAGTCTAAGGTGATCCGGGCGCAAGATTTATGTTTTGCGCCGTGTTCCTGCTTTCCTCTTATGTTGCTGTATATATTTTTGTTAATATCATTATTCTCTGTTGGATGCTGTGACTCTATCTTTGTATGTGAGTAAATTTCTTTTTCTCTTTTTTTTTTTTTTTTCTTTAACCCCTTACTAATAATGGGTTTTACTGGCATTTTTTTATGTAGGGTAGATTGGTTTTATTATCATTATTATTATTATTATTATTATTATTATTATTCTCTTTTCAAGCAGACCAGTCTGTCAGTGTGTGTTTGTTGGTCTCTTATTAGGTGTACTTCAATTGGAAGAGGGAGATGTGTTTTCGGCGGTCAGTATGTAAGCCGATGATGCTCTTTTGTTGTGGTCCTTTATCCCGACAAATTCCGTGTACATTTGCAGGGGTAGTTGGGTCAAAGCCGTGTGAGCAACACGTTCTCCTCACATCCTATCGCTGGTGTACTTCGTTAAACTCATCTGATCTCTCTGCACGTTTGCTCGTGTTGATGGATTCTTTTGCAGAGGCGCGGGAACTTATCGAAGAGGCAAAAGAAAGTATAGGGAGCGTTTATGCTTCAGAGGATATGCAGGATGCAAAGGAACAAACCGATAAAACATTAGCTTTATGGGAGGAATTACAAAAAAAGTTGGAGGAAATGGGGGATATGTCAACATTAGAACGTTTAAGAAAGGAACATAGTCTCAAAATGGCACAACTCCGTGCAGAACTAGAGGAGGTTGAACATGCACTGAATGAATAATGCATAAGTTTTTCCCAGTTATACATCCCTACCTTTCTGAAATATACTGAATCTATGAGTTTCATTATATTAGTTTAGTTCCCTCTTACTTGATTCCACATGTTTCTTGAGTGACTCTGTCTATTTTATATACATGAACAAACTCTTATTATTTTTATTATTATTTTCTAATGTCTCTGTTTGTTTTTAACTGATTTTGGTTTTCCCTTATAAATATATTTTTTTATTTTTCTTTTTCTCTTATGTTTAAAACTAAAAGTACGCTTGTGGTCAAACATCACTCTGTCTGTCTGTCTGTCTGTCTCTCTGTCAGTCAGTTAGTGTGTGTGTGTGTATAATAGGTGGGAGTGAGTTTCTTTTCTTCTTTACTTTGGGTATATTGAGAAACACCATATCCATATGGGTGTTCCCGATTTTCTCAAGTTTGCTGCCCGGGTCTCTCCGGAAGCATTATGCCGCCTTCCCAAAGCCGGTAATGCCACCCCAATGGGGTTTGACTTTATCCTCGTGGATGCAACGAACGCCTTTCAAACAATTGGATTCCAGGCACTTTCAGAGTTTCTACTATTACCAAAACTAAATGTGAGGCGAGCAGTTATATTCGCAATGGATGCCCAACGACACCGTGCGGGAACGGCCAGAAGTCATCGCACACACGCGACGGTGTTGGATGCTGATGTCTCTGTGCAGCAGTTGTCTCAGAAGCTGCAGGAACACTACAAACAACGTGGAGGAGAAATGATGCCACAAGTACTTGTTAGCGGTCGTCAAATTGCTGGTGAAGCCGATTATAAAATTCTTGATATTCAGAGAAACCTTGTTACACAAGCTCTCGCTGCTGGTGAGAAGGCACCAACTTTTTGTTTTGTCTCGGAGGATTCAGATGTTCTCTGTGGGGCACTCTGTGGACCAGCACCGTACTCTATTTCTATTGCAACTAAACTGCATGATACTATGTTTGAGATGTGTATTTTGCGGCTTTCACATGTTTTGGCATATGTGGCTATGTGTGTAGATGCCATTGGAGGTGAAGGGGAGGTGGAACAACCCGCTGTTGTTGAAAAGCCTGCGAAGAAAGAGAAAATGGAGGAAAACAATGACAATGAAGAAGAAAAAGAAGCAGAAGAAGAAGAAAAGAATGATAAAGTGGAAGAGGAAGAAGTTTTTCGCCGTAAAAAACAGGATGGTCCGATGGTGGCAACTGGTACACGTGTGGTACTCAGTGATTCTGACTCTGATAATGATAATGATGATAATAATAATGTTGTTGCTGACAAGAATAACAAAAGTAAGGAGTCAGAAGAACAGAAATTATCATTAACTTCTAATGAGCCTATTATCACTGATCAACAAATTGCTGCTGCAGAGATTTTACAAAATAGTTGTGTAGATTTGGTATTTCTCTTTGTTGTCGTTATGGGAAATGGAAGTAATGTTCCTCCTGTTATTCGTGGGGCAACTAAAGTAGATATTCAATCATGTTGGAAAGCCTATTGTCGTATGAAGTATGAAACTGCTGACCCTGGGCGTGAAAAAGAAATGGGACGTAATTTACTCTGTCTTCATGATGCTGTTGGACGTACAGAACAACAAGCCGATCGTATTGCCTCAATGACGATTGATTGTTCATTTCTAAGAAGTATTCTTGAGGCGGCACACTATGCAGATGCCCAATCACGTCCTCCTGTAGAAGAAGAAAAGGAACGTGCCTTGTTATTTCTCTCTCAAGCTATCTACACTACACTGCGGTATATTGTAGCTTGCAATGTTGATCCTAATGCGGCACGACATAATACATTTTTGGATGCCCGTCCACTTATGGAAACAGAGGTGGCCGTACCAAGTCTCGCAGCCTTTCTTTGGGTGCTCGGTCAAACACGAAAGAAGACATTACATTTCCCATTAGTGGGATTGGCAACAGAGGAAGTGTTATCAAGCGCCGCTCGTGGAACTGCAGCGGTGGAATCTGCCGTTGCCGTTGCCGCTGCGAGAGCACGTGGTAATGGGAATGAACAGAATATTGTTTTGCAGTGGGATGTTGCGAATACACTGATGACACCGGATGTAGGATTACCACGAACTGTACGACTACACAAATTACTTCCAAATGCACTTAATGGTATTGGTAAATCTTTTATGGATCGTCTTTATTCTTTTCTGGAAAAAGAATCAGGAATTCATACAGAAGCTTTAACACGAAAAACAAAAAAATCCCTTCTTTCATCTCTTGTTTTGGTGTGGCAGAAAACATTTGCACCTTATATGTCTACTTTAGATCGTATTGCCCGACGAGTACATGTCATTTCACCTTTTACAGGATCTATTGTCTCTGGTAATGCGACAGTAACAACAAAGAGAAAAGAAGTACCAACTGTCAATTCTTCAGATGTGAAGATGTCGTACAGTTTTGAACTACGCCGTATGGCTCCTGTTCTTAGTGGTGGTGGTGGTGAAGAGAAATCCCTCACAGCACCAACAGCAAGTGCGGCGCTTCTCAATGCTTTGCGGGTTTCCTACGATTATGCAACAGCTCCACAGCCCCCTCCAGGGACAGTGTGTGTAGATGATAATACCAATAGTGGTAGATTATTTTCCAAAGCAGGAAAAGGAAAGAAACATATGCGTGGAAAGGATAAGACAGAAGGAGAAAATGTTGACCATGAGAAGGATGCAGATTCAGCACAGAAAAAGAAATTGAAAACAGGTGTCTCAGGAAATACCACTACACCTGGTTCAGAATCGGGAGAAGTTAAATCTGAAAAGTATAGGCGTCCTGGTAAGAAGGAGAGAGAGAAGATGAAGAAAAAGTTCACTAACAGCAAGTCAAAATAATTTTTACATTATCTGCGAGTAAAATTATTACAATAAAAGATTAATCCACTACCTGTAATGGAGATTGTCTGTAAGAGTTCTATTCTATGACCACTTTTACTACATTGTCTATGAAAGAGAAAAAAAAAAAAAAAGCGAGAATTGTTATTACGACTTTATAGATGTATTCATTACTAAGATTACTGGTAAATAATATGATTATTTCTTTTATTTTTCGTTTCTTTCTTTTAAATAAAACAATCTAAAGCAGGACTATATCTTTTTTTTTTTTTTTTGCTTGTACGTGGTAGGTTATATAAATAAATAAAGAGAGAGGCAACAGGGATGCAGAATAAGTTATCGCCACCACCACGTATTCCCAAAGCGAGGGGGGCAGATGTTAACAATTCCATTGAATTGAGTCATTCAACATTTTCAGCTCCACCAGCAATGCGAGCCATGGCAAAGTCTACAGATACATTAAGTGTAGGTGCATCCAGTTCAGGCATTCCGCGTAATTGGGTTGTTTCTCGTAATAGTACACAACAACAGCAACAAGGATTACCATGGAAACATAGTAATAATAATGATAAAGATGTGGAAGAGCAAAAGGAGGGAAAGGAAAATGAGTATTTAATGAGTGAACTTATTATTCCATTTCACTTGGATGCTGCAAATCGTTTGATGAAAGATCCTGTTCAGTCAAGAAAGGCAACCACATTTGATAGATCGGATATGATAGAGTTGCAGATATCTGTAGATGACTATGTGGAAGGATTAATACATACAACTCGACAACTTTTTATGCATGATAATGAAAATATGGTACAAGAACTCCAGCGAAGAAAAGATGTTTCTATTATAAGTTTGTTTTTGCAAATGCAGCGAGAAATGCGGCAACTCACAGGTGATGATTCTATTGCAGAAGAAAGACAACTTATTGAAAAAGTTTCAAGTCTCTTGGATGTGTGAAGAGAAGTAAAAGAAAGAAGAACAAAAAAAAAAAAATGAAAGTAGTGTACAAGTATTCTTTTTTTATTATTCCTTTCTATTATCGTACATATATATGAATACATATTTTATTTTATTTCTTTTGTAATATTGCACTGTGGGGAAGGAATTAATTTAGAGTTAGTAGTTTTTGTAAAACAATATTTTGATGGTGTAAGGATGATAATTCTTTTTTTTTTCTCCCCGTACTTTATTATTTTTTCTTTTCTTTTTCATGTACTCTAAGGCATAGAAAAGAGATTCTCATCACTAGACGCTTTTCTGTTATAGGAGGGTACGAAAGAAAGAAAGAAAAAAAAAAACTTTTAAGCGAGGGCTTGTTTTTTTTTTTTTTTGCTTTTGACTGTTTCTGCTTCTCCTCTTAGAGATCAAAAAAGGAAGAAAAGAAAGAAGGAACGGTTTATGCAATAAGTTTGTTGAAGAAGAAAAAAAAAATATATATATATACATATATTACTTTTTTACTTGTTTTTGTTTGTTGTATTTAGAGCGGGGAAGAGAAAAAAAAAAAAAAAAAAAAAACAACGACTTCCCTTGGTGAGTTATTGAAAGGGTGAGTATACATATATATATATATACTTATATACTTACCATTATTGGGAATGAATTTCTTGGATGATGATTCTTCCACGTACTGCTCTACGCGTACCCCGCGATCACTGTTAACATCGCAGAGTCCAGAGCGGCAGGCGGGTATTCATGGAGAACAGGTGGAACCCCGACAGGCACCGGAGCATATTTGGCAAAGAGAATTTCCCTCTTCAAAGAGTTCATATCCCAGTACGAAATTGTCTGTGATGGAAGCCGTAAATGGGAATGATAGAGAATTCCACAGAGAGGAGAAACTGAATGGCGGTGTGAATGGTATTTCTTCTAATATAGGAAAGGTGGTAGTAGCAACGGAAACTGCAGACTCATCCCCTATTATACAAAAAGATAGTGTTGTATCTGTTGAAGATCAACTGAAATCTCCTGTAAACGGTAATAAAGATGGTGATGTGGAGAATGTACCTTCACCTACGCATGATGATGGATCGGAAACCTCCTCTATTGAGTTTGTAGTGGATGAGACCGCCTCTCGTCTCTCTGGATCGCCGTCGCCGAGTAGTATTCAATTTGTGCGTGATCCCTCCGTAGTCACTCAGCGGGAAACGAGTGTGAGTACGAAACGGAATAGTGTTGTTATGCCTCCTCCTCCTCCTCCTCCATCTAGTGAGAGAATAGGGGATACAAATACGGTGAATATTCCAGTGGCTAAAGAGGTTATAAATGATAATGAAAAGGAAAATATGATTGAAAAATATGAAAACATTGAATTTCGTAAAGTTGATTCTAAACGCAGTGAAGAAAAGTTACGGGCATCTTCATTGGATAAGAATTCCAAGACATTTTCACAAGAAGATCGGTTGGATAGTAAACAAAAACGACAACTTTCTTCTCGTGAAGGTCAATTTACGGAGGGAAGTATTCATACAGAAAAAGAAATACCATATGAAAAGAAAATGGGAAAGAAGAAGAAATCTTCAGGTGATTTTGAAAATCGTGGTTTCTCACGACAACCAGAATCCGCAAAACGAAGAAGTTCTCAAAATAGTAGCAGAGATAGTAGTATAACACGAGAACCAAGAAAATATACGAAAGGTAAACATAATATGACGTTTGAGCGAATAGAGTCATTAGGAAGAGATACATCCTCACATAACTCTACCTTGTGTCATGGCACAAATCGTCATAAAATAATGGTCTCTTCACATGGAGTTCCATCATCGCCGCGTCGTGGGAAAAATGCAGTCGTTTCTCGCGTTCATGATCACAGTCGAAATAATAATAATAATAATCATCATAATAATAATGTGAGCAAGGATAATGGTACACCTATTCGTTATCAACGTCAAACACCGCTTCCTGAGAATGTTACAATTGTAAGTCCCGCATTGGAACGTCTTCGACGATATAAATATTTAGATACCCCATTGCGTGTACGTCAAGAGCGTAAACAAGAGTTATTATCTATACTCGAAGATGAGATGGAAGCTGTTCGTGAGGAAGTAAGAGAGTGTGATAGGGCTATGGAACATGCAATGTTGCGTAACCCGTATGAACGATTATATCATATGAACAATAGACGAGATCGGGATGAGCGACGAACACGATTATTACATTATATGAAGTTAAAAGAAGCCCGAGAAGATTTACTTGCAGAAGATGAAGAAACATTAACACAACGTCGTGCCAAACGACGAGAAATGGCCCGTCGTCGAAATGAATTATATGAACGATTATATCAATCAAGTCCCTCACGAGAAAATAACAGTCGTAATACATCACGGCATAGTGCTCGAAGTGTATCTCCCTCATATGTAGTGGATGATTCCTTCTTTCTTCGATTATATGATGAGGCATTAGAGTCTATAGAAGAGAAACGAGAGCGCATACGTCAGGCGGAATTACATCGACAACAAAAAGAAGCAGAAGAAATGCTTCACGCACGTATTCTTTCACATTTGGAATTACATACTTCTCCACGACGTGCACGTACTCCACATCAAATGGAATTACAAGCTGCTAGTATGAAACGTAAACTTTTAGAAGACCCTGAACGTCTTCGTAAGTTTCTTCACACTAATAAACTCAAAAAGGAAGAAGAAGAACTTCTCGCCTGGAGACTCTCACGTCAAGGTCTTGTAGATCCAGAGAAATTAGAAGCAAAAAGGCAGGAAATAGAAATGGAAGAATGTACATTTCATCCAAAAACAAACACCTCATATCAAATACAGGCCCTCTCTGCAAATTCAGAGGGATACAGAAAAACAACTGTGGCATTCAAGAATAGAATAAGAAAGGATGAGGAGAACTCAACAAGTGAGAGAAGTGGACAACAACGGTCCTACTCTCGTACTCAACAACGTGCATGTGAACAGTTGTATGCAAAGGCAATAAAAATGCGTGAAAAACAAAAACTCCTCGTGGAGGAAGCTCAAAGAGCGAAGAAATTAGCCTGTTTAAAAAGTAAACTAAAGGAAGATCATCATTTCCGTCGTCGTGTAGAATTAGATCCATCTTTGGCGGAACGTTACATGGCATCATTAGTGGTTTGAAAAAGGAAAAATGTGTAACGATTTTTTTTTTTTTTTT